AAAGGAGCTGGGCAAGAAAGGGAAGAAGGCGACATTAGGCTCTATCCAGCAGGCTCCCGAGCTGCCCACCAAGACCAGAACCCTCCGCAAAAACATGGACAACCGGGATGGAGATAGTCCAGGTTAGACGCACTCACACTCCTGCCCTTGTTGCTACAACTTTATAACAGTTGTTATTATAATTACAGGAATATGTGAAATGAATAGTGTATGCAGGGGGAATTATTGTTACTGAATTTCACTTACAAATACTTGATAAAATGGACTGTAAAGACTTTAAACTTCGTCACTTACTTCCTTTTAGTTTCTATTTTGAGTTAGGAGCTTTTAAAATCCTTTAAGATCAATTGCAGTCAGAGATCTGACTCTAACCACATAACATGCTAAGGCTGGTGGAGTTTGCGCCCTCAGGTTTCTTTGGCTCAGGGAACATCTGCCAACCAGCTCAGTCTCCTTTTAAAACATTCCCAAACCTTTCTTGAACAATAGTCTCCATTGTTTTGTTTTTTTTTCTCAGTGTGTCAAAGCATTGTAAGTATTTTATTTTTCTTTATCACTAATGGTTCCCTGGTTCTTCTGTGCACTTCCACAGATCCAGTGGAGCCAGAGGCAGCTGTGTCGTCACCCATGCTTCCCAGGAAAGAGCGCCCCCTCCTGGACAACAACCTGAATGAGGATGACCGCTTGATACCCAAAGACAAGACGCGAAGTTTTCTCAGCCTCATCAAGAAAAAGAAAAAGAATGCACCCGCTCCGCCCAAACGCAGCTCCTCTTTCAGAGAGATGGACGTCCACCCTGACAGGAGAGGCGTGACTCCAGATCCTCGAGACAGTGATGGCTTCAACAATGGTGCATCTTTGGCCATTAATGACAACACACATGGCCTTGACTCCTCCAGGTTCCTGAGTACTAACAATAATGGGGCAGGGGGCATCGCGAATGGGGCTCCTACCTACCCAGGGCCATTATTCCCCAGGAAGAAGGGGGCTCCTGCAGTGCCTGGCCCGGGAGGCAAAGCAGCTACCACACCACCCAGTGAGGAGGAATCCATGTCCAACTCGAAGCGTTTTCTCTGGTCCTCTAGCATGCCCTCTGGCTCGGATGGCAATGAATGGAAGTCCGTCACACTGCCACGAGACTTGGGCCAGCGCCACTTTGACTCAGGTACCTTTGGGGGAAAGCCAGCTCTGCCACGCAAGAGAACCAGCGAGCAGAAAGGGGAGAGCGCCCCTCGGATGGGCACCCTGACACCCCCGCCACGTCTAAACACCTCATCAGATGCCACCTCTTCCTTCTTAGGCAAAGACACTGATCCCAGTCCTGGTTCCAGTCCCCAGGCTTTAACACCTAAGGCGGTTAGGAGACCAGGTGTGCCGGGGCTGGAGAACTCCAAAACCAGTGCTCTCCATGCTGAGCTTCTCAAGCCCAATGTGTTCCCTGCTTTGGGGGCAGCTGGAGAGGAGTGCAGGGCCCGCAGACACAAGCACCCCGTGGACTCCTCATCTGTCAGGGAAAGAGGAAAGTTGCAGAAACCCAAGCCGGCTCCACCTCCACCACCCACTAATGCCAAAACAGGCAAGATCTCCCGCAGCCCCACCCAAGAACTCCCCTCCCCCTCCTCCACCACCTCAGACATCAAAGCTAAGGGCCTCCCCTCTGTCTCAGAGCCCCACCACACAACCACTGCCAGTGACCAAGCCCGCTCACCACTCAGTGAGGGCTCCAAGAAGCTGCCCCTGGGCTCCACCTCCAAACCTCAACCGTTGAAGACCTCCACCTCCTCCACTTCAGTGACCACCTCCCTCTCCAGTCAGAGTCTAGGAGGCTTCTCCTCCTCCCTCACCTCTCCCGGCGATCAGAGCTCGCCCACCGCTTTCATCCCGCTAGTGAACACTCGACGCTCCCTCCGCAAGACTGCACCCCGCCAGGCCTCCGAGCGCACCCCCAACTCAGCCGTGACACGCGAGATGGTGCTGGAGGGCACCGAGCTGCTCCGCGCAGCCATTTGCCGTAATTCGGAGCAGACGGGTAGCCATAGCGCCGTGCTGGAGGCCGGCAAGAACCTGTCGAAATACTGCGTGAGCTACGTTGACTCCATCCAACAGATGAGGAACAAGTTTGCCTTCCGTGAGGCCATCAACAAGCTTGAGAGCAGCCTGCGTGAGCTGCAAATCTGCCCCACTGCCACAGGGGGCGCCAATGCACAGCAGGACTTCAGCAAGCTGCTGTCCTCTGTCAAAGAAATAAGTGACATTGTTCAGAGGTAGCGCCCTAAAAGCTTATAATACCAAGACATAAAACTGATACTGTAACTTACACTACCCCCTTTTTTTCTGAGCATGTGCATGAACCGCGGTTCATCCTGAGCTCACGTGGGAGAGCTAAGGGTAAAGCCTGCTGGAGCACAGCAGCAGAGTGTAGGTTCACACTACAGTACACTCTGAAACACTTAAGCCTGTGGTTATTGTGGATGGAATCAAAGGAATCTGTCTGTAGACGTTGTCAGACAGTTTGCAATATTGAAAAGCCTTAACTATGAATGAACAGTGTCTTTTGGCCTTAATGAGGGGGCGAGGGGCCAACTTTTGATCAACATGACCTTTCAGCAATCATTTTTGAAATGATCATGTCTTATGTATGCTAGTAGTTTTTTTCCCCTTTAGCGATGACACTAGTAGAAAAAAGGCCTGTGATATCTGTTTCCATCACTGTTTGTGTTTGATTTTTTTTTTTCCATTGATGCCGATGACAATGAGAAAAAACAAAACACTTAACCTCATCTTGTTCTAGGATACCTTCTAACACTTAAACGACTGATGTCATATTGTCCATATTGTTCACCTATAAGAACTGGGGGGTTTCTGAAAGCACAGTGTTTATAGCCTGATGCCTGTGTCCAATGCATCCCGTCATTTTCCATCGCTTTGTACCGTGTCATCAGTGATTGGTTGTGTGCTGAGTGATGAAAATGTGTCAGTGTTTGTTCTGTATGAATGCTTTTTGCAGTATTTGCAACCATGTGCCATAAGATAATAATGGGAGCAAGCAAATGAGGGAGAACGAGCCTCCGGCCTTCCCCTTTTTTGCTTCACTGCACACTTTGGTAACAAATAGTGCCTTAAACACTATTGACGGAGCTGTTTAATTACTTCTCACTTCACAAGTGCAGAAATGTGGCTTTGGCTGAATTGTGCCAAGTGTCCAAGAATAGCTGTGTTGATTTGTTTATTGGATTGAAACGTTTGCCATACCAAAAACCTTTGTCTCCAGTCTGTGCTGGAGAGGGACCAGGGTGATCTGCAACTTAGTGGATCTGACTGTTGTTTTATGTTGTTCTTAGACTGGATTTCTTTTTTTTTTCTTTTTTTTTTTTTTAAATAGGTTTAATTCAACTTTCTCTACATGCCAGTCACAAAAGCCATCAGTAGCAGCTTGGCCTAGCAGCAGCATGCTGTTTGATCTGTAAAGAGGGATCATGGACTGACACGGTGTTTCTCTGACCACTGAAGGGCCTCTTTGCCAGAGAGAATTAGCTTTGATGGAGAGTTTGTCACATGGTCTAAATGCTGTTTCAGAGGCCTTTCCACCCCAGCAAAAAAAAAAAATATATATCCTGGGGGAAACACTGGACTGAAATGTTTATTGATCTGTCACTTGCTGTCTTACAAAATAATGTATAAGTGAGAAGCTGACCATTATAGACTAAAAGAACCCATGAAATTCCACTGAAACATCATACGTTCCTTTATTCTTGTCTGCATCTCTTGGACATTTTCACTAGTTGTGCTGTAGTCGTCTCACCCCATGTGCCCTGTCTGACTGCGATGCCTGAGGACACAAGTCAACCGCAAGCTGCCTTGACTTCAACATGGTACTGTCAGTGTTGGCTTTTTCTTTTTTTTATTCCTCCCCTTTATCAACCATACCACTACACTTTGTGACTAAGCCTCCTCACCAATTTTGTAGACAAACTTTGCTTTCCTTTGTAAATATGTTTTCTTTTTCCTTTTTCCTTTCCGTTTCTCTCTCTAGCCTTGGTGCAATTTTTGTTGCAATAAAATACAAAGCAGTTGTGCTACTTGAAATACATTAATGAGTCTGGTGCTTTTTCCACATGATCCTATAGTTTTTTTTTTTTCTCAATCAATTCCAGACTTTATCAAAGCCAGTTTTTTTTTTTTCTCTACATGAACAGATTTAAAAAACAGACACACAGCAACAGGTTATGTATAATTTATTTTTTCTGTCTAGAGTATTTTGTCATTAAAATCAAAATGTCAACATTTTAAAATCATATACACGCAAGAACGCATTTAAATGTTAGCACAGCTCCTTAAAAATTTATACATATGTACTTTTTTTTTTGTACTTGTGGACAGACAAAAGCAGGAAGTGGTCACTCAGACTGCAAAGAGGTGGGACACAGGAAAAAGGAAGACCCAGCCCACCAACTTCCCACGACAACAAACCAATCCCCACTCCCCAAAAGTTAAGACGGCGATGCAGGCCCCTCCCATGTGGAGGGGCTATAATGGGGTGGAAAAAGAAAACAGAATATAAACATGAAAGTGCCCCATTCTCCACTCCATTCAGAAATGACAGGAATCAAAAGTTTGCAGACATAAATACTACTTTGCACATCATCTCAATCCACTTCCTCTCCCCTCAACCAATCAGCAGGTTCAGTAGTGTGCAGACAGGGTGGTTGTGGGGGGGGGTGGGGGTATTTAGGTGTCTGTCCTTTACATACATTTATTAATAGAAACTATGTTACAGAATTTTCCCAAGCATGAATTACAGGCAACCCACTAGCACATCAACTGTACAGATCTTGGCAGAGCCAGCAAATAAATTTCTAAATCCCGAGTAGCGAGGTCATCACCAATAGTTAAGAAGCAATATATACAGCTGTCCAATCAGGGAATCACTATGATACAGAAAAATTGTACTCAAAAAAACATAACAAAAAAAAAAACAATTGGGTTTTTAGAATTTCATCTTTTTTGGGGAGGGGGGCATGCTGCTTGGTGTTGTATTATACAAGAGGACCAACTGTCCTTATGAACAGATCAGCTCTTCAGTGCAGCTACACTTGAAGTTTTGAGTTTGTTTTTACATCTGAATAGTCGAGATGTGGGCTTCAGACCATGCTGCTGATATTTTGACCATGTGAGCCACCACTTGTGTGTTTATGTTATTCTCCAGTTAAATGCAATAATTATTCTAAGAAGAGATCATTTACTGAGTCGGGGTGAGTCCAACAGCAGTGATAAGAGCAAGTGCAGCAAAACTATAAAGATTAAAGAGTAATAACATATTAATTATAATAAGGCAACAAACAATGACAAAGACAATGCTGGTAAAGACAGAATCTGTTGATATGACCTGGGGGAGAGTTTTGGGGTCGGACAGGTGAGGAGGGAGAGAGCTGGTGCAAAGAAACTGATGTGAATAAATCTTTCCATCAAAAACAGAAAAGCCATGTTCTTTTTCTTTTTTTGTTTGTTTTTGTTTAAGTGTCAAAAGAAACCCCCATCCAACTTCTTAACACTGACACTCACAAACACACACAGACAAACTGGAAAACATCCAATATTCCTCCCTATGATATCTCACAGGAGAGACTGAGGAATCACCCACAAGGAATTTGTAGGTGATTCCTAGTTTTCTAAATGTTTTCCTCTCTCTCCTGAGAACATCAGTGTTGCCACATCTGGCAAAGGGATTTGCTTTGTGCTGAGCAGCAGGAGTAGAATTAAAAAGCCACAAGCAGGGGTTGAAACCTGCTGAAAAAGCTCACATTCTCTGAACAACACTTGTGGGCTTCTACCTGCGTGGCTGCATGATACACTACTTCATTGCCTTCACTGCCCGATCCCACAAAAATGACCCGCGTGTGAGATATCGCACCTGCATGTCTCGATAAAATGCTGGATTGGTAAACCATGCAGGAGAGGCTGCCAGGAGATTGGGAATATAATTTAGATTTGATTCATAACGAAATTATCAGTGGTGGATGAAACTTAATGCAGTGTTTACATGTCATATATAGCTATAAAACCAAACATAAAAAACAGTCTCAGTTTATCATTATCGTATGAACATTACATCTATCTAAAGTGTCAGTAACCCGTGTAATGCGTGGTGGTGTCTACGATACTACGATGGGGGGGGGGGGACTACACTGAATGGTGCAAGAGGAGCGGAGGGGAGCAAAAGAGGAGCGTTATGGGACGACAACACACTTGACAGTTTAAAGAGGAGAAGTGAGACAGCAACAGCGGGAGACAGACAGGCAGAGAGGAGGAGGGGAGAGATGTAGTCCACACAGCCCAGCTCAGTCAGGCCCAAGTCAATATCCGTCCCCCGTTCCTTCCCTCCGCAGCCCTGCTCTCATGCAGCTCCTGGTGCAGTGAGGGTGGATGAACGTACGGAGGTGAAGAAATGGATGGAAAAGGGTGGTGGTGGTTGGGGGAGGGCGGTCAGGACACAGCGAGGGGGAGAGAGAGAGAGAGAGAGAGAGAGAGAGATGGGGAGAGAAAGAGAGGGCGAAGGGGGTTTGCTTGGTCATTAGCAGCCGCAGCCTTCCCTCTGGGGCTGTGGTTCGCTGGTTAGCCGGCCGCCCTGAGGGGCTGAGGGCTTGTGCTGGACCCCTGACTCGGCGGCGTTCAGGTCCAGGCTGCCATCTTGGATGTTCTGGTAGATCTTCTTAGCGGCTTCCAGGAAGGCGTCCTCAACGTTTTCACCTCTGAACACACAGAGCATAAACACAAGCGTGAGAAAAGGAAGCAAATGGGAGCTAAAGAAAGTAAGCAAAGGGATATCTCGTACTCTGCTGTCACTGACGCACTGCAGTTGTGCAGACTTACGTTTTTGCACTAGCTTCGAGAAACAGCAGACCTGCAGAACACAAAACAGACACGATGATGGCGTCAGTAAAACATTGTTCCACACTCACATACCAAGTCCTCATTTGCCCCCTCCTTCAATTAATCTCTGTTCACTTAATCTTTCCTTAAGTCACCTTCTCCTAGTTTCTGTCTTAGTAATATAAACAGAAAAGGATGTTCATCTTCAATTTTGTCTGTTGAAATCAACCACAAGAGCTTTCATTATAAACATTCAGAAAAGAACAGGGAGGCTAACTCTCATTCAAATTCTAAATATTTGGATATTTTGTCAGGATTCCTGTGATTATTGTTTTGTTGAAACTGAGGATGGAACAGTCAAGAGTTTTGGAAGATGTGTTTTCAGAAAACATGATTGGTTCAACATCTTATTTGACTCCTCCACCTAAAACCTTCTTTCCCATCTTCCCAACAAGCATTGCTCTGTGTCTGGCTCACCGTTCTCCTCAGCAAACTGCTTTGCCTCCTCGTACGTGACGTCCCTCTGGGCCTCCAGGTCTGCCTTGTTTCCTATGAGAATGATCACCTGAGAATACAGACACAGGAAGAGGAAGAGTAAGACAAACCGATAGACAGTATGGCCTTTCAGGGAGAAGTCTCTTTTCTAAACCTCCAAGAGATAAGAGAGCCAAGGGCAGTATTGAAAGACTTCCTAAATCAGCTGTTATACCACTGACTTGTGTGTTAAGGAATCGATAGATAAACACACTGAGGAACAGACACCCCCATATGAGCACATTATTCGGTGCCCCTTAGCAACTGTGATGTAATTAGACTTGTAATATACTGGTGTAATGTAATGAGCTTCTTTGTACCAGAGAGACAGACTCTTCTCCACTGAACTGCTGTGTGCTCAAAAAAATAAAAGAAAAAAGAAAAAAGAAAAAGATCCTCACCATGTTAACAGCTAATCATTATCACATTATCAGCGTTGAGGTGAAAATTCGACTGTGATATGCTAGTGACTTTCACGGGCCAGGACAGGCAGAATACATAGAGCAAAAGTACGACGTGCATGGAAGTGCACACACAAGGAAAACACAATTATTAATATTATTTCACTAAGACAAACATAAGCACTGCTGATTTGATGTTGATGTTCACATAGAATTTACAAAAGATTAAACTTCAAGTTCTTCGCCTTGAATTGTTGGCTGTTACTGGGAGAAGTGAGGTCCAGATTTTTAGAAGCTCTTGCTAAATAACAATAAAGTCTTACATAACACTTTTCACTCAATTGACAACCATTGTGTCAGTTCGAGCTGAGCAGCCAGAATAAAAAAAAAAAAAAAATCACTTGCAAATGTTGACAACTGGGGCTCAAGCTATGACTGGACTACAACAGTGCCACCACATGGGTGCTACAAGATGCTTCAGCAAAAACAGCAATCACCACGAAAACAGGCTCCACTAACAGACTGCTGTGGATTTCTCTGTTTTCTATGAACATCACTTGAAGAAAATGTTTACATAAACACTTCTTTGAAATTATGAAAGAAAGAGTGGATTTTAACAGAAATACACAGACTCATTATTCAAACAATATTCATACTTTGTGGTCTTATGTATCCATAAGATGAGCAAAAGAAAACATAGTTCCACAAGAGGCCCCTATATTTGCATGAAATATTTTTGTTTTAAGACTAGGAAAACATTCTCAATTTGGAATAGAAGTGACATGTTGCAGAAACCCACTTCTCTGAAGAAACACAGAGCTCAGTAAATGAGACCAGTATGATTGAGAGCTAATCATATTTACCAAGAAATCCAATTTAAGAGAGGGACAGGGCTCTGTGGCTTCAAACAATCTCAGGGGAGAGGGAGAACAACACAGGGGGATAGAGAGGAAACAAAGCAGCGGAAGTGACAACAGGGGTGATGAAGTAAGAGGGATGACACAGAGGGAAAGAAAACTACACAGGTAAAGATATACAGAGAGCAGAGGGTATGCAGAATAATTCCAGTGTGCAAAGTGAAATGATGTTAATGTGTTCTTACAGTATTGGGGTTGGTGAGGTTTCTAGCATCAGTCAGCCAGCTGCTGAGGTGGTTGTACGTGCTTCTCCTGCGGGACATAAACAGAAGGGCAGAGGTTACTATGACGACGAGCACAGGCATAACAGAACATCATGCCATTTCTGAGGAGCTATCAGAAAAGAGTTGGCAGCTGCCGCAGCATCAGGATGGTGTAACAGAACATTAAAGAGAGCGACAAATTTTGGGGTTACGGATACATGTGAGATTTATATTGGTGTAGTAACTCAACCGAACAGCTTTCTCTCTGTATCTGACAATACTGTAACAGGTCATTTCTGTCATTTGTTCCGAGTTACAGCCTCAATTTCAATTTCCATTTTCCAATAAATGTCCCATTTCCTCAACATTACAGTTTGATCATAATGACAATCACCATGTGATGTGAGTCAAAGTAACAGAGGAACAGGTCCAAAGTTAGATGCACTGACACTGTACACTAAACTGGAGAATACAAATATTAAAAAAAAAAAAAAAACCAGTTATTAAAGCCACACCCTTTAATTACAGGATATGGATAAGGAATTACCAGTTGTGTTCAAAGCAACCATGCACGACACTGAACACTCATCTTAGTCTCCCGTTCTTGCCCATTAGACCAGCTGTGGGCAGGCAAATCGCCAGAAATGTAAACAATTCATATTAGTTTTTCCAGTTGACTGTTTGTGGGACCCTAGGGGCCCTTACTGGAGTTGGGTGTGGTGTGGACATTCCAAATGCTGAACTGTGTTTACTTGGCAGGCCACTGATACTATCTAACAGTTCGGGCACAAAGGTTGAACACAAGCAGTAAACCTGTTGGTGTTTGTTCAGAAAGGAGTCTGTGAGCTGCAGTTGTCACATGCTTTTGTTTTCATTTAACTTCTTCTTCCTACATATTTTTGTAACATGCACCAGACTTGTTATCGCGTGATCCATGAAAGCTTCGGTGTAAAGTGGAAACCATGTAGTTAATGTGTATCACCACAGAACAATCGTGCCTGTACCTGGTGATGTCGTAGACCATGAGTGCTCCTGCAGCTCCGCGGTAGTAGGAGCGGGTGACGGCCCTAAAGCGCTCTTGTCCTGCCGTGTCCCAGATCTGCAGCTTGATCTTCTGGCCACTCACCTCGATGATTCTTGTACCAAACTCCACACCAATCGTATGGGGGCAGTCTGCCATGACTGGGGAGAGAAAGTGAGGCCACTGTGAATTCAATTCTTGTGTCAATTAGTTTTTTACCGCTGTTAGTTTTCCACATCCTGAATGTTCTTACATTTTTCCCCTCAACTGAAAGCCTCACCCAAAACCCTTAACCTCGCCCTAAACCCTCCTGCATTTTGGTCTCCACAAAGCACACATGCACACACACACGCTCACACATCTCCATTATAAGCCTGCAGCAGGTGCATCAATAATTGATCACATTCATTATACTCAGTAAATTGAAAGTATCACCACTAAGAATGTGACAAATGTCTTCAAAGCTGACACAGAAAAACTTTTCTAAATCACCCTTGTGTGTGTGTATGTGTGTGTATGTGTGTGTATGTGTGTGTATGTGTGTGTGTGTGTGTGTGTGTGTGTAAGTGTGTGTATGCAGGATGTGATCGTAGATGAGTGAATGAGGAATACAGCATCTGGCTTGTTAATAGTAGCGCTAAACAAAACAGGGCTGAATGGCAATGGGAGGCTGCAGCTGACTCACGCACAGAAGAAGAGTCTCACTGCTGAGCTCACACTCGACTTCTATGCCACTGACTTCCGCTGGCATACAAAGAAATCTAAAGTGGTCTAGGCGCTCCAGTTGAACCTGGCAACCTTGTATACACTGTGGCGCACAGACAGATGAAAAGGAGTCAAAAATCAGGGCAGCACTTACATTTCTTTTCTGTGAACTGGTGAAGCAAACATGACTTCCCCACCCCCATGTCCCCTGTGGAGAGAGAGAGAGAGACAGAGAGAAACTCAGGTCAACCAAGGAAATAACAGAAGAACAATTCTCTATTCAGGCCTGCAGTGTTGCCCCCATGCATGATGTAGCAGCCCCTCTGTGACAGTCAGTGACGATACTTAAAATTTCATGTTGAGTAGTGGAAGAATGACAGAAAGACCTTAATGTGTCCTACAGAGTTTGTCAATACTGTTTATGCTTAGAACCATTTTGACACCAATGGTGCATTTGTTTTGTGCCTCGATCCTGTTTGAGCAATTATCTATGATCTGTGATGAACCCTTCATTTGCAGCTCAACAAAATGAGAAAAACGATGCTGCAAGCAAACAAAATTAAACAAATTCATCTGTTTTAGGGCTGGGCAATACCGACAAAATCAATAGTTTTGACATAATATCTTGAAATTTTAAGTGTGCCAATATTTTGGATCTAACTACTGGTGTTTTCAGGAGATACTCACGAGAAAATGCTGAGAAACACCAAACAGCACTGATGTTGAGGCATTCACTGTTTATTTTACTCAGCCAAAACAATCATAAGTAGCTTCGAAAATTGTGTGCAACTCTGACAAACACGATCATGAGATCTTAAAAACTTCACTGTTCGAGAGAAGAAAAAAAGAAAAAAAGAAAAAAGAATAAACAAAAAGTAAAGTAACAAGCCACTATCCCTCGAGGCTGCTCTTACAGACTCATTCAAACACCTGCTTAAACTTTCAGGCAGGGTGTAATACGCTTGACAGAAGAAGATGATAAACAGCCCAGAGCTATGGGCGTGTGTGTTTATGTATGGCTGTGAATCTATGTACAAGTTTAAGCAGCAATGTGTTTACTTCTAGGCCACGGGTTGAGAAGCATGTCAGCAAAACATGGAACATAATGCTAAAAGTGGAGATGCATTGAAAAATGCATTACATATTCACAATGTATGCTCAACTCTTCATTGCTAAGCAACACAGAGTAGTATGTCACTAAAATATTAGCAAATAATTTTGAAAACAAGACACTGACTCTCATCACAGAAAATCTTAGGGGACTAAGAGTCATTGGATTTCTTTGACTAATGCATTTGTCAATTTCACTGATCGTGTTTGTCACTGTGTTTGTTTATCACTGTCTATCAGCAAATTAATGCAGTTGTGAAGAAACATCAGTTAAAATTTGGTGCTTTAAAACAGACAGCAAAAAATTAAATATGCTGGATCCACTCAGTGTACAGGGTAGCATCCCATATGTATATTAAAAAATATGGATGATCATTCATCAGACCTTCATTTGAAAAGGGGATATGTCTCATCAACATAGCTTGCTCCAGAGACTGCACACTGGCTGTCGCTGGCATTGCTCACTTACCGATAATGATGTATTTGAAAATGTAGGAGTAGTTGTACGGTGCAGTGGCCATTGTGGCTCTGAAAGAGAGAAAAGACAGGGGAGGTTTAGGCATTTAAACTATCAGTAAGGACAATTTGCTGTTTTTCAACTATAGGAATTCCAGGTAATGCAAGTAAGAGCAACAATTACATGTGGAATGTGGATTACAATCCTTTATTTTTTTATTTTTTTAAGTAAAAGTTTTTTTTTTTTTTTTTAAGTAAAAGTTCATTATTTTATCTTCCAATCAGTGTCTACAGTCTAGTGAAGCACTACTACTCATGGCTGACCACATTCATTCTTCATGCTGGGCTATTGTATATCAGCAGCAGGACATATTCTCTCTCACACATGAAAAAATACAACAAAAACAGACAAAAAAAGACATTTATGCTGCACACAGGGTATACATACATCTTGCTAATTTCCACACAATTATATGACAAAAAAAAAACAAACATACTATACTAGAGGATAGGCTAAACCCTAATCCGAGTATGTGTAGATGAAAAATAAAAACACAATAAATATTGTACACGCTTTAATTACACTTGTCATCTTGGGGTCAATGTTATTCTCCAAACCTATAATCCTATTAGACCAACAGGACCATAGTGATGAGGACAGAGAAGGCCAGCCACATCCATCATCATTGCACACTAGAAGTACAGCAATAAAATCTTCTGCAGGGATGTGATTGAACGCATCAAATTATATACATTCTATAAACACTCCAGTTACACCATTCGAGTAATTACAAAATTTTATTATGCAATTATAAATTACCCAACTATAAGAACAGTGCTCATCAATACCAGCTAGTATGACCTTGATCAAAACGCTAAAAGAAAAAATGTGCGTATGTTTCTCAAAATCATTCCCATGTCCTGCAATGCAACAGCTGGGACTGTACAAGTAACCAAAAATGAAATCGAACACAAATACTTTCTCAGCTGGTAAGAAACTAGGAGGTGTTGTGACTGCACTTCCCACACATTTAACATTTCTGCTTACATAAATAAATGTAGAAAACAGCCATGTATTTTTTTTTACAGTTTGGTGATCAGTGACAAACTGGTTGGCATTAAGTCATATTTCAACTTATCATATTCATCAGCAAGCAAATATATGCACATACTTATTCTATTGAGTCCTTTCAACCAGCGCACAAGCAACTACTAATCATTAGTCAGAAATTACTATACAAAGACTTAATCGATTTAAATTTGAGGAGTAATACCCATTATCTAACTTATGCTACTGTGGACACAATCCACAAGACATACATTTCTACTAAGTTTAGTATATCATCCACCACTCCTACACCTAGTCCAAGCTGACTCAGGTGATGCAGAGCCACTGTGTAAGCTATCATCACTACAGCTTAAGTTAGCTTCATATTCAGCTATTAAGAAAAAAGCTTTCACATGCTGCACCAGTGTTCACTGGACCTAGGTGATTACAGTATTCCGAACAATATTACCCATACTGTCTATGTTAATTACATGGGAGTCAGAGTTTATTTTTCTTCACCCAATAATAACCAACAAACCAAACCATCAAAAGTCTGAATAAAAAATAAAATAAAAATCCAAGTCCAGTTTTAAAGTGACATTCATTCATTAAATATACTGTATGCAGCTACATCATCACTTCAGAGAGTGATGAAGAACCATTGGTGGTATTAAGAGTTAGAACGACGGCATGTCGTAGGCATGTAGACAAGTGAGGTGATGGATAACTTTTAACACAGGGGTGAGGAAAGCTCCACAGTGGTCAGTATACAGCACTAACCACATCATCCTGCTGTCTCTACTGTAACACAGTGACACGTTAACAGTGTGGCACTTACATGTACACAAGAACACCTCCAGCATCCTAGGCTTAGAGCTAAAAATAGCCTCGACACCTATCTGATATCCACTGATGCTTCAGTGCTCACACTCCACTCACAGCAAATAGACAAAGGAAAATCCATCAGATTTACCACACAATATCACCACCTCTACTACTACTAAATCAAAAGAGCATTCACACAAATACACAGTTAAATAGCCATGGGGAGAAGCTCTTTTGGAACTTGTTCAGATTTATTCATAAATAAATGATCTGGTCATGTACGACATCAGTGAAGCTGATCTGGAAAGCAGGCAGTTTTCCTCATGATCAATGTCAATGTAAAACTCACTTAGCAATTTCCTGACATTAAGGCTATTTTGTACTTGTGCTGAATAAATGCTGCTTTATAATTCTGTAACGAGGTGCTGCTATACAGCTTAACTGCTGTAGAGAAGTAAATAATTCAGGCATAACAATCAGGAGAATAATCATTCAGCAGCCTGATGGTTTCTATGTCCCTCGCAAAGATAGTCTGCCTTAAACCGTCTGAAGCTCAGTGAAAACTGTTCTGCAGTTAAAGCAGTTCCTGGAAACTGAAATCACTGGGCCACATCAGAGCCCAGTGCTAGTGTTATGCTCCTACTTCTGCATCTGCAGTTTGGTGATCATGTATGACTGGCCAGATTAATGCTGACACAACCAGAAGAAATGTGGATGTGGTGTGATAAGACAGTCTAAGAGACAAGCAACAGAGATAGAGCGAGTGAGTAAAAGGAAAAGTAATTTAGAAAAAGGGATGAAAAAAGCTGATAAGGGGAGTAGACTTAAAGTAGCATAAGAAAATGGAGTAACTGGGTGAAATATAGAGGATTGGAGACACTAATTTGTTAGACAGGAAATAAAGAGGGCCTGCAAGGCTACATAGTCGAGGTTAATTCAGGTCAATGTCATAAACCTTTGTTTTAATGAAAACTTTGGCTCAGGTACCTTCATGATGGCACATGCTGACACTCATATTGACTCCAGGTACAACCCCCTTAAATGAAAATAAATTAGATGAAAAATTAAATAACTCAAAGTATGTTTCAGTATTTCAAATTTCCTGGAGCAAAATATGACTTAATAACAGAGGAAGCTGCTGAATTTCAAACTATGTAAACAACTTGCAGGGTTACCAGAGCAAGCTGTAACTGTTTTTTGGTTGGTGGCCTCAGAAAAGACTTGGCTCACACATTGCAGTCCTCCACAAACTGCAACTTGACCTGACATTTGAAAAGTACTTAGGCTAACAACAACTGGATAACTGAATCTAAAAGCAGTCTGTATGAAGTTGCTACTTACATCATGCACTATCTGGATACCTAGCTTAGATACTTATTACTTTGTTAAAAAAAATATGGCTAACTCTGATATCACAACAATGACAACAGTAAACATGCTATCACAAGCTTGTTTACACTACAAAGTTACTTGTGCTAATGTGAAGGATGACACTGCAATATGTCATTTTTTCTATCACTTAATGCATTAATTCTCAATCTACTAAGTCCGACTGATAAGACTGAAGGAAGTCCTAGAAATTTCACTGAGCAGGTCCCACACATCAATGAGGTTTCCAAAGTTTCAAATTGAAACACAGACCATGAAAATTACACCATTAATATCCCTCAAAATCTGGGTATAACATTTAAGGGATTTTTTCTTAGCTGCCTGCTGTCACATGACCCTCATGTGGCACCTCTACCCCCAGTGGGACAGTTTTCAATGCTATGGAAGGTAAGGTGTTACAGAAAGTATCACCAACCAGCCACAAAATGTGATTTAGTTATGATACCTCATTTTGTGCTCATTATGTACAAATAAACCACATGAGTATCTATCAAGGAGAAGGCAAGTCAAGACCATGTGACCAGGCTGCAGCCTCAGCACTTCTGCCTTACTTCTCAACTAACTGAATCTTTCTCCAGAGACACACTGTCAAAGCCTTTTCTCTGCTCAACAACCACTTCCCATAGAGGGGAGGACGCATGACTTGTGTGTATCTTAAATCTGGGCAATCAGGAAATCCTGACACAGTCACGGTGCCTCCATGATGTTCAGGCCCACTTTTCAAATCATGTGACTCTTTTCAAACCCTAGAAAACAATATAATGAGATCATCACTACCGTTTACAGGCAAGGCAGAGCACACCATCACAATGCATACAAATTGAATTTATGATGATTTATAACATTTATACCATGAAAATCAATACAAAAGAACAACAAGTAACGTTGTTATGTTTCTAATCGAGCCTACAAATACACAGAGAGCACTAGCACAAGAAACAGAAATGATGCAGCATTTTATGGTGGAAAAGGGAAGATCTATCCAAATTGTGCAACACTTGGAGACATTAATTGTCTCCTTTGCAGCCAGATTCCGTTTTGAAATTATACACAACTGTTGTCTGAAAAAAAATAAAAACCAAAGGGGAGGCTAACGTACTAATGGCTAAGGAATTAGCATGGGACCTTAAACGCAACGCTACATTACAGATGATAACGGTATTATCAACACTTCCTTACCACAAAACACAATTAAAAGCACACACAAATCCAAACAAACCGGACTGGAGTGCCTCATGTTAACTCTTTAATTTGATACTGTAACGTCACGCCTGCTCCCCTACGACGGTGGCTATCTTAGCTTAACAACCGGCAAAATGACAGGGTCGGTTAGGTTAATTCTCTGCTGTTAGTTAGCACTCAAAGGACTAGAAATGTGACTAAGCAGAGGAAGAAGTAAAAGCTGACATTTACTTGGTTGACTAGCTGGATGATCGTGACTAGTAAATATCACGGCCCTATCTTAGCTGTTTTGACAGCTAAGTTTGCGTTAGCTGGTTACCTGCTTGCTGACATCAGTGGATGTATCTTGACAACAAATCACATAAATCACAACACGTAAGTTGATTGCCTCTATCAGCACACAGATAATCAATCCAATATCATGTTATTAGCATAACCCGGTCGGAAAACAATTTGGCCTCAGCATAATTCAACAAAAGCCACCATACACCAAACTAACGACAGCTAGCGGTGGCTTTAGCATGCTAGTTTGCTAGCTATCTGCGAGGGTTGGATTATGGTAAATACGTAGCTTCGATTGCTTGTCACACTTTATTTAGTCATCGCTGAGCAAGTCCCATCTTCGTCCACATTAGTAATCTCTGACAGTTCAATATGTAATATCTCATATTCTTGGAAACTAACGATAGACACCAAACTAGTGTTAGCCAACTGTTAGCTAGCTTCGTTAGCTTTCCAATTAGCTGATTCCTGACAAACACAGGCTGGCTAAACTGTTCCAGCTGTTTAATACTTTGAATATCGGTGCCTCCGCGTTTACTAGACACTTTGTACATGTGTGTGTGAGTGTGATCAAATATTGCCAAATTTCTGTCCTTACCAGGAATGAAGTCTTTTGAGCTGTCTGTTCTTGATCTGCTCAGAGGAGGTCTGCAGGTTATCCTGGCTCAAGTATGATCTGTCTATCCAAGATGGCTGCTCGCGGCACAGGGTTTCCTCCGCTGTGTACAATGGGTTCTGGGACAAAGAGCATCGTATGCGGCGGTTTGCGGTATGAGCACCACTAGAGTGCACCCCTTCGTGGAAGGCAATCTCACCTGCACAGGTGTATTCATGCATACTGTACTGGCATGGTACTTAACACCAATTAAGTGCCGCATCAGATAATACATTCATCACTTAACTGAAATCATGAGCCAGAGGACTGAGTGTTCAGGGGCTCCTGCTTGACCTGGGTTCAGGTACTGTTTCAGCATCCTTTTACTTTAAAGACCTATATCAAACTGATTCTGACATGTCAGTTTTAGCTTTGTATAACCATTCTAGGACCTAAAAATTATTTATTGTTTATTTGGATCCCCATTAGTTGTTGCTTTTACAAGAACACTTATCTTGTGGTCCATATTAAAAGAAAATACATAAAACAAACAGATGTTTACATGTACACTACATAGTCTACAATAAGTAGCCTAATATAGCACCACAATAGCACCCATTTGTGAACCTTAATCAAAACCGCAACCCCTTAAAATAGGCAAACCATTGATAAAACAATTTAAATGGCTTGACAGGTAAAATAAATAATCTCAATTCATTTTAACATCTATACTGCAAGAGAAAAGAAAGAAAACCTATTTTACTTATTTATTTTGCAGCCCTGCATTCAAGAATAACATCTTTAGCTGTTTGTCAAAAATGTTTTGTAGATTCTTGAGATATAAAGCATGGCAAACATTCCCAGTGAGATTATGGCTCTATACGTGTTTTTGTTTTCTTTTTTTTTTTTCATTGCATGACAGCTTGAGGCCCAGGTTGACATCTGTTAATGTGTTAAAAAAAGGCCTTTGTGTTCTATCCAGAGGAAGTAGACATTTGTCTCATGCAAACAATCAGAATAAGGAAAGCAGGGCTATAAGCTGTTTATTAAACATTTGGAGTTGGACAGCATCCATTCTGCCAACTTATCCCTGTGTAAGACTGTAATTTCTGCTCCAGCGGGGCTTTTCTGCCACTGCCAATTTGTGTGCCTGGTACTGGGTAATACACAGTATGTTTTGTACATGGCAGATTTGTGATGTAAAGCTCATACACTTTAAGTACATGGCACTAAACTAGTGAAGGCCCCATACGACTGGTGAGTATTAGATTTCTTTATATGATGATAATGATATATCAGCCTACCGGGGATGTTTCATTTCTGTTTTATTCTATTTATTGTATGATGACCATGTCAGATTTACATATTTTCATATGTACAAGAAAGCACTCTTCCAGTCACTTGTTGAATTATCTCACATATAATCATGTGAATCGCAAGTAATTGTAGATTTCTCTGATCATGAGTGGTATAGGACATTCATGGTGCATTTTGGAATAAAAGACATAGCAGAGTTCAAAGTGATTTTCTTTTGAAAAATATGAAATAATTTAATATAGCAATTCACAACATTACATGCTTTCACTGTACAATATTTCTCACAGTCATACATAGAACCACATGCAGTGTGCTTTCCCAAGCTCAGCCTGGAGAACTGGACAGCAAACTAAAAAAATATCTTTCATTTTGCAAAGTAAACAGCCTGTGACATCAAAAGAACAAACCGCACACAAAGACTTGATCTTGAGAAAGATAATGAACTCCTTAACAGAGACAAGGGATTTATGTCTTACAGTACATGTGGATCTAAGCCTTTACAAAACTGAAGTCAGTGTTTTTTCTGCTTATATGGATGATTTACTGAAATTTTTTTTTTTTTTTTAATGAACTGACATGTGACTCTAAAGAACATATTCCTTTCTTGGCAACAAAAATGTCCCATAATATCCCATATACTTCAAGCTACATTTGAGAAAGTGGATGTGCACAATGAATTCACTGATGACTGCAAGCTGCTTCATCATTATTTTGACCAAACATATTCACAGGATGATTTTTGCCATTTCTCTGACTGCAAGTCCAAGCTAACAATGTGACAAAAGCTACTATTTCAAGGTGCTCACCTGTAACACCACACTGAGTCAAACTCCCATTCAGCCCTAAACATCAGCAGCAAAGAGAACAGATGAGAGTTTCTCATACAAAATGTTTCTCCCATAGTCCACTCGTGTTATGTTCTCTTCCAGAATGACTCCGTATCACAACCACATCCTCAGCAGCAAGAGGCTGAACAGTGCACAGATATAGTGGAGTGTGCTTAGGTGCCAGGAGGGGGCGCTGTTACATAGGTCTGAGTCACAGCAGTGGATGCGCACCCCTGGCAGCTCTTGTTGCTGGCAGTGTCTGGATGTGGCACAACCACTGGTCAGGACAATACCCAGGGCCGCTGGAAGGACAGAGGAGGGAAGACAGTCAGTCAGTCAGTCAGCGAAGAGTGACGAGCTGGTGTTTGGCTCAGCAAGAAAGAAAAAAAAAAGCACAAGTAAGCACCAAATACTGCAAGTGTGTAATGAGGAAGCCACTTAGAGATCTTAAAGGCACACTCCATAGGATATTTCCTCACAGATGAGAAACCAAGACTTTGACAAATACAATCTGTATTCTGCCCCCGATTTCTGAATATCTCATTAAAGGCTGTATTTAAAAATCTGTAACATCTTTATTTAACTGCAAATACTGAGGGAAAAAAATACAAACAAAGACAGTTTAGCCTCTCCTAAATCCATACTTATCTAAGAGCTGCAAACCCACTGGAGTCTCTCTCACTTTTGGTTGTCATATATAGTCTTGAAGAAAAGCATTGGACTGATAACTGGCATCCAATAATTACTGTATTGCAGCCTGTTTGATATTTTGAGTGTTCTGAGTCCCTGCAGCTAAGAACCAGTGGAATTAAAATGCATAATTTGAATGTGACAACAGCAACACTTGGCATTAGTGAATTATAAATAAATGGAAATCTTTGCCCTACTTCAGCTTCTCTAAACTTTTTTTTTTTTTTTTACTGGTCACTCTCTTGCGGTTGATTAGAACCCGACAACATCTAAACGTGACATCCCCAGACAACAGGAGCTCAGCTCACTGGTTGTTGTTCCAAATCCAAGTTGAAAACAAAAGAGTGACCCGTTTTTCTAGGTGAGGGCAGCAGGGCCAACCTAAGAAGATCAGCCTGGCTTCTTCATTACCTCCGCTAAGGAGGTTATGTTTTCACCTATGTTTGTTTGTTGGTTTGTTTGTGTCATTTATGGTGTTGAGATCTATGACTTTGTACAACGGGGTGAAGATCTGGATAATGAATCGGACCTGGTCGAAGAAAATGTTAGGCCTCGGCAGAGATATGTGCTCTGCCATTCTAGTTTAAATTGTGATGATGATTCTTAGTCTGGCCTTTCTTAACATCGCATCACATAAAGTGCTTATTCATCAAGGCATTTTATGCCTGTCAGGAGACCTCACTTCAGTTTAGGTTGGAGACCACTGAGATGTGAGAGGACATCGCTCAGGAGAGAAGGACTGATTATGGGTTAAGGACAGATGTCTTGTATCTGAGCACAAAGGAGGCTAGAACTCTAAGACCCTAATGGAACTTCACCAGCATCTGTCTGATTTTGGTTTGGCAGGGTCACATGAAGATTAACAGGCTGACTGGCCACAGATTACTACCAAGACACTGCTTCAAGATTTTGACAAAGTGCTTGTCATACAGTGTCAGACAGGCTGCTGTCAGCCCTTGTCTGAGCCTGTTGTTTCACTGCAAATGGACGAAGGTGCCTCATCAGCCCTTTCAACGCGAGCAGATCCCTGAGACGTCAAGCAAACAGCTGGATTGTCCACGCTTCCATGGATATCAGCAGAACTACTCATCTGACCATCACCATCCTGTCGTGGATGTCCACATCCTCCATTTGGCTTAACATCAAACAATGAGTGACTTATAATTTACTCAGCAAAGCACACCAAAGTAGGGTTATGTAACCATCCTCGGTGCACGGAGAAATAGAATATTCCCGTCAGCGAACAAAGAACATTTACATGAAAGTATGATTAAAAATGATTATGCCAATGTCCAGTGGCACGCCAGAGTGAATTCATCATTTATTAATCTGCTACCCCATAAATATTCTCCAAATAAGTATCATACACAGATGCGAAGAGAGAAGAGAAGAGAAGAGAAGAGAAGAGAAGAGAAGAGAAGAGAAGAGAAGAGAAGAGAAGAGAAGAGAAGAGAAGAGAAGAGGAGAGAAAAGAAGAGAAGAGAAGAAAGATTTCAGTTCATTAGTCACTCAGTATTGTTCATACAGGGGTTTACTCACTGCTCTCTGTCTTAATGCAGAAACGGTGTTTGAAGCCCTTGTGTGAGTGGGTGCAGGTGATGACCTCTGGGTTGGAGCAGCCCACGTCCACGTACCTCTGGCCCTGGATGATGTTGCAGCCATAGCACTGCAGCCCCTGGACTGCAGGGGAAACACAGTACATGACAACTTGTTTGTGGGTCCAATTCAACATGGCGTGTTTGTGTGACACCACTGGGATACGTAAGAAATACCATATTCCCTGCTACTTTTGGGCTATGGAAGTATTCAACATATGCAGATCACCTTAATAGAATCATTATTATAAATTAAATGTATGTGCAGAAAAGGGTGGGAAGACACAGCAACACCACGTGTGAGCCTTATCAACACATATATTTGCCTGTATGCACTGCAGGCAGGAGATCTTGAGAGAGTCTATGGTGACCCCTGATTATTATGAGGGTCACATAAGGTTGCATGCCAATTAGTGGTATTCATAAGCCCTCTCTGTATCTTATCCCAGTTTCAATTCATGACTGATTTGTTGATGCAGTTTGCCTGTTAAACCTTATCTTTAGCAAAATACCATTAAACTGTATAATAATGCTAATTTGTTCTCATTCATTTTGAAGACTATTCTCCTTATGTACCCATTTACACATTAAACGACACATTCATTTGACTTAAAATAAAAAAAAATTAAAAAAACTGTTACATCTGAATATAAGACTGCACATAATCTCGCCTTTT